GAAACAGCAGAAATTCCTTTACATTGACTGACAAGAGAGAAGTCTCTAGCGTAAATTCTTAAAGGTGGAAAGGTACTAGCATTTACAGCATTGAGTGTGAAGCAGTCGCGTTGTTGCTGCATTAGCGACAAAGTCCAGCTAATACGCAAACGAAAATTGTTAGCCATTTGAGCCACACTTCCAGTATTTGATGCTTAGTAACCATTTGCTTAGTGCTCAAAAATTTATACGGTTAATTTTGATGCAAGCCAGCTGCCCCATCAAAAAGCTGGCCAAGCCTTCCTAAGGGTGATTCTTGACAAGTGCAATACTTATTTGTTCGTAATTTTAAAATCAGGATCTTAAGACTCTTCTTGAAAGCGACGTGTTCACCTTTGGACAATTTTCTGCAGTAGGTTAAGTTATTTAGTCCTTATCTGAGTGCAATCTTGGATATCGTGCTCTCCCCAAATGACTGTTAAGTTGGTTACAAAAAAACCAAATAAATAGGTGTCTTAACTCAACACTTTGCCGCGAGTAGTGTAAAGAAGCCATTACAGAGAGGCATATGCTAAATCAAGCCATTTTCGGCCATTCATTATTACCGACTTAGATACTAGAATTTTGCGTTTATTCAAGAAGTTGGGAAGAAATCCTTAAAAACGACAATTCTAATTTTTTCCTAATGACTCTTTTTAAAGACGCTTTTTAGATGGTTTACATAGCTCAACATTCGACAAATTAGTTGATTCCCAATTTCAATCTTACACGATTAAAACTTTTGAGGTGATTATACCTTACAACTGTAAAACAAGGCTTTTTTAAAAAAGTAAAACCACTTTAGAATGTGATAATTAATAAGCTAAATGTGTTTTGTTACAAAGTCCCAAATATTTGTTTTAACTTATCAAACGATCCTTTAACTGTGTTTACTCAATGTTCTATCCGTTAATTTTAACAGATTGCATAAAATTCAGGAACTTTGGCTTTTTAAATCAAATTTAGTGGTACTGTTGTTTAAACAATTAAGTAGACAATATGACCCTGGATACAAGCAAGAGTATGCCCAAAACAAATAAAGAAATTAATTTTATAATTCTGAGCTCTTTTAAGCAAATAGGGGTCTTACATTCCCTTTGTAGTGCTCCATACCACAGTGGATTAAATGAGGCGGTGGTCTTTTTCAACTGATCTTTTGCCTCCGATTTGGAGTCCATGGAAGTGACAAGCGTTGGCGCGACAACACTGCCCACACCGCCTCCGTGACATGACATGGCGATCGTCAAGATACCCACCGCTATGAGTAGCAGCATAACGACTGTGCGAGCAGTCGTCGTGATTTATGGGCTGTCAAATACTCAACCGTGTCGGTGAACAGACGGACAGACAGACCACAGTAAGTCTCGCGTTCCGAGAACCAATCAGAAGAGTCGCTTATTTTTACATTGTTTTAATCAATTTACGTGCCTTGGAATAAATTTCAATTTATTTTGTTAACAATGCTTTACGGGTGCATTTGACTTTTGTTGAAAAATGCGATGCTCCGCTTTGGTCCTAAAATTACGCTGGCTCTTCCATCTTGAGGGTTTTACACCTCCGTTTTGATGGGGTATTTAATGACGCCAAGTTGTCTCCTACCAACCCTTTCCTGTCTAAAGGTGGTACGTCAAGTTCTACCACTCTGAGTAGAGGGATTTCTGTCTTCGATTCCCGGTGGACTTCATTCCTCCCAAAAAGCGGTCCACCACGCAAACAAAGGGACAGTAGTTATGTAGGAGAGTAATTATTTGTTTGAGGATAAGGAATGTGACTCACGTAGGGATACCCAAAGGGATAATTCAACTCTAAATATCGCACTTTAGACGTATTTATGTAGCTGTTACCAGGATAGAAGAAGCAAGAACAATTTGACAGTCCTTGCTCCTGTGCTTATGCATGTAGAGGGCTTCCGGCTTTTCAAACGCTTAAAATTAGTATTGATATAACCCAACTTTCTTCACTTTTACTCAAGTCAAACGCTTGACGAGACTGGCAAGTTGATCTCATTCTCAAGAGCAAGCAGTTGACAGCGATTCCCCTTTTCCATTGGCAGTTTAAAGAGGCAAATTTAAATTAACATGATGGAAAGCGCATCTTCGGCACCACTTTTGGCCATCTTGTGTCACAAAGCCCATCAAAAGGTGCCTTGTCAATCAACTGATATGTCAAGAGACGTCATCCTCATCGAGGTACCAACAAAAAACCAGATTGTTTGTTCTTTTTCAGTTTTTTAAATAAAAGCACAAAAGGATGTTTTTTAATCAATTTTCCATTCTCTAAAAACGTTTTTTTGTTCTTAAAACTTCAATGTGTCATGCGACGCAGTGGCACCGCAACATCTCGTTCTCACTCTCTCCTGGAAAGTGACTGGTTAGAGGGTTTGAAGGTTTGTGATTATCTCTGAAATGTAAAAAAAGGAAGTGATAAGGGGAAAAGTAAGCAAGCATTCATCGCTAAAGGCTCCAGTGCTGGCGAGGCCTTTTTAGAATACCGAACAAAGGGGCGTAGCTGTCGCTTACCCACTATTCAAGGTAAGTGGCTCCTCTTCCAAGTATTTAACGGCACGCGCCTAATTTTTCTTTATCTCTGGAAAAAATTTTCATTAACAAAATTTGTTACATTGGTCGGTGAGAGAGTGATGGGAAAGGGAAGGAGACTGGTACACTGGGATGAAATCTACCGTTTTCGTTTCGCCTCTCTCAAATTTGGGCCAATATTCCTGCATTTAATTGTTCCTTTTTAGGTATATGCCTAATTGTGCAAGCTTTTCGAGTTTTGTAGAAGCCACTTCCCCTTAATGATGTGGACAGCCAGGTTGCCGTTCAATGTGTTGAATTTACGCCATCCGCTGTGGTGGTAAGGCTTATCACCACTTAGTGTAGGGCTTGGGGATATGCGGTGAGTCATTTCACCAAAGGAGTTCGCTTTTGCCGCCTAGTATAATCTCCCTATCTCTAATTGCAGGCAAAGTCAACTGAAGGAGCTGCGAAACGCACTTATAAAAGAAAGGTGAAAATTTAGCGTAAAAGTACTTCTCAGTTCGAATACATCGTGCTGAGATAGTCTACTTTTACACAAATGTGCCCAGTTTGATACTTAAGCCGCCTACTTTTTTCTATTTGGTGAGCAATATTCCAACTTTTTGGATTGGCTTAAAACTCGCGCACTTGTTCTCTTTCCTGATTGGTGCATCTTAATTGACATCATTAGAACTGTGCTGCGATTGGCTAAAGGCACAAGGTCAACCAAATGGCTATAGACGAGTGAGAACATCGCCCCGTGTCTCCTACACTCAGTCAACACGTGACATCTGCGGAAGCTGGAGCATCCCCACAAGCATTTCTTTATTATGACATTTAAATTAAAGGCCCCGATTTGGAATGAATAATCGCTAGAAGCGGACACATTAATGTAGAGTAAAAAATATTTTAAACAGTTACCTTTAATATCATATGTCCTGTTCAAAAAAGGTGAGATTTGCCGCTTGCACAGCCGAGGGGCTTCGAATAGGCGGTTTTGGCAGGGAGGGAAGGCTACCCCTGAAGGCAACACTACTTGCCAGGGGTAATGGTGGACGCAGAAGCGGCCTTTGGAGGTTTGTTGTTGTTGTAGGCCCTCCACCACCAGTCATATTAATATGCAGAACCGAACGGAAGGTCTTATTCAACGAGGGCTCTCTTGCAACCGCCTTGGAAGTTATGGAATTCACACAGGGTGTGGAACCAAAAGTCAGCCTTAATGACACGGGAATGCCTTCTTCCATTTTGTCTTGAGCCAGCAGCTCGGTGCTGAAGGCATTTGTCATCAGAGGTCTTTGGAGGTCATCAGCAGAAGCCACTTTTGAAATGCAAATCTGCTTGCCTTTTGCTGCGATACTGAAAGCGAACGGTGTCTCCGTTTCTATGCAGATGTCCTCATTTGAAGCCACTCGGCCAAGAATAAACTTCTTCGGTGGAAGGGCTTGGACTCGAGGAGCAATCTTGCCATCATTTGTGCGTACAGTTCGAAGACCCTTCGACAGGTCTGTGACAAGGGGATAAGCAGCAGCATCAGCTGGGGGCGGAATTATTGCCGGTCCGACACTTCGACTACGTGTCATCGAGGCATAATAATGTGGATGACGAGACTCCATCGGTGTGGTGGAGTGCGGTGATCGACGGTCTGAGTTATCG